AAGTGACCAAAGAACATGGTACGGGAACAGGTTTGGGGGTAAGATAAGTTCCATTTCATTTTCTTTGTTTGTTTTTGTTTTTTTTGTATTACTGGGGACTGAACCTATGACCTTATACATGCTAGGCAGATGCTTTACCTCTGAATTAGGACCACAGTCCCATTTCATGCTGATTTTGAGGTGCTTGTGGGTAATATACAGGTGGTGATATCCCAGTAGAGGTAGCTGTAAAAGCACCAGTTTTTTTGGGTATGAATCTTTTAGCTAGAAACTCTGGAGGTTAACTAACTGAATTGTTTCATTTTACAGATGAGGTAGGCCCAGATAGATATACCTATTTTTGAAAGCTTCTTAGAGAATTGGGATTAGATTTAGGAAGACTCATTCAAGGCTACTTCAGTCCACCATGCTATATTCCATTTGTATATCTAGGAGGTATTACAATTATTCCAGAATATATACAGTGAGAAGTTTTCTCAGAATTCCCCAATAATATATAGAACCTCTGATAAAAGGCACAAATCCTGCTCACATTCTTTTGTCACTGCAAAATTGACTTGTCAAAGCGATCCTGCCATTGCCAGCTGGAGAAAGAGGATGCGGTCAGATTAGAAGTGACTTCTGATCACAGTGAGCAACCCTAAAAAATCACACTGGTACTGTAACCAAACACGTATCTCTGGTGCTCAATTCCCCCCCCCCCCCCCCAGGACTGGAGTTCAAACTCAGGGCCTCACACATGCTGCTAAGCAAGTGCTCTACCACCTAGCTTTATTTCCAGTCCTCTGGTGCTCAATTTTAAAGAACCAGTCATTTGAATATCATTATGAAAGTAAACAAAACCAGTATGTTCATCATAAATAATCACATGAGGAATATAGATTATAACAACCACATTTAGCAGAGGTAAAAAGTCAATAGGCAAAGTGCCAAATACTCATTATCTTATTTTAATAAGACAACAGTTGAGAACTACTCATACCTTAACCAAAGAATTCTCAAGAAACAAAGCTTCTTCTTCTTTTTTTTTTGTGGTGCTGAGGATCGAACCCAGTGCCTCATGCATGCCAGGCAAGTGCACTACTATTTGAGCCATAACCTCAGCCCCATGAAGCTTCTTTTTAAGTGAGTTACTGGTGTTAAAAACAAAAGCATTCAAGTAGAGTATAAAAAGAACTAAATTCTGAGGGAGTTATAAGATAGAGGGAATAGGTTTCAGTATTTTCTGCAAGGTAATACAGGTGAATGGGGAAAAATGGAATAAACACTTATTGATGAATATCTGCTGTGTCAAATATTCATAATACATTATATCATTGCATCTTCATATCAACTTTGTGAAGTACTTATTATAAGCACCTGACAAATGAGGAAACTGAGGCATAAGATTAGGTAGTTGTAGCAATGTGTGACCAATTGCAAGGACCTGGCCTTATACCTGTGTTTATCTCTGTTAAGCCTTGAACAAAACCTTCATCTCTTCAAAGACTGTAACTATCACCTATAAATGATGGTATTGCTAGTTTTTGCTTCAGAGAGTCATTGTGAGGATTGTAAATGTCATGAAAAAAGCACCGAGAATTAATACTGGACACAGTGCTTAGTAAGTTAGTTTTGTTTTGGGTAGTAAGGGATTAAACCGAGGGCTTCCACACACCAGACAAATGCTCTACCACTGAGCTATATCTCCAGCTCTTTTCCTTTTATTTTGAGACAGGATCTATCCTAAATTGCCCAAGATGGCCTTGAACTTGTGATTCTCTTGCCTTAATTTCCTGAGTAACTGGGATTATAAGCCTGCACCACCTTGCCCAGCTAATAATTTGGTTCTCTATCATGTAAGATCATGTGGCAAGTAAGTGGCAAATTATCCTTTCCTTCTGCTCTATAGCTGGTTACTTTAGGCTCCTGAGAACCTAGAGGTACATAATGGAGCTCATGGAGAAGGAGAGAGAACGCTGATGGTGTACTGAGAATCTAGAATCGGGCAATAAAGAAAGAAGCTGGTGTAACTATTACTTTGAGGACAGCATTCAGAATAAAAGGCAAACTATGAAGTTAATCTTGACTTAAGAGGAAGGCTATAAATTATTCATTGACCAGAATATTTGTCAATACGGAAGGAACAATTCACCAGTAAAACTACTTATTTTACCCAATATATAGCAGAGATTTTCCACATTTGATATTGAGTTTCTGAAGATATTTTGGTTCACTTACTTTTTCACATCCTGAAGTGATATGTCTCCTATACTATTTCTAAATCATTAGAAGTGATAGTGATATCACTATCAATCTTGGCATTCAAAGTTGTATGTATGTATTTACTTTGTACTAGAGATAGAACCCAGAGGCACTTTAACACTAAGCTGTATCCCCATTTTTTTTTTTAAATTTTGAAACAATTTCTCATTCATTGCTGAAGATCTTTTAAAGTTGTTGAGGCTGGTCTTGAACTTGCAATAGTCCTGCTTCCACTTCCCAAGTTTTGGGAATTATAGTCATGTGCCATCTATCCATCTAAAGTTGTTTTTATATAAGAAAAAGCAAGGTAGGTACTTTTTCTATTAGCAAGGTAAGTAAATAGCTTACTATATTTGAAAAACTGCATAAACGTCTTTCTATTTGTTCTCCTTATATTATCTTGCTAGTAAAATAAAAAATTACCTTGGTTTTTCTAAAAACAACCTTAAAGACCAATCAAATCTACTCTCCAAATGAAATAGCTGCATAGAGCTCCCTCTAGTGTCATGACATTAATGAAATATTAAGAGCCATTTTGTTATAAGATTTACAGGTTTATCCCTTTAGTACATGAATACATTAAGCCCTCACTTAGTTTTAGATAATATATTTATTTTCTTACAAGACATCCTGTGTAAACAGCTTCTCTAAAAGTGCTTCTATCCATTTCCATTCGCAATCATTACATGCACAAAACCATTGAAAAGCTAATAAAGGGGCTCAGTGGTAGAATGCTTGCCCAGCATGTGCCAGGCTGCAGGTTTGATCTCCAATACCACAAAAAAATTAAAAAAATAAGTGAGGTGCATTAGTGCATGCTTATAATCCCATCTACTCAGGAGGGTGATGTAGGAGGATTGCAAGTTTGAGGCTAGCCTTGACAACTTAGTGGTACTCTGTCTCAGAAAGGGCTGAGGATATAGCTCGGTGGTAGAACACCCTTGGGTTCAATCCTCAGTACTACAAAAATAAAATGTAAGTAAACAAATACCTAATGAAGTAAACAGCTTCAACTGCAATTAACTTCTGACAACCAAATTAACTTATTTTCTTTAAGAATTTTGAGAAAATGGCAAAGTGAGGTAAACAAAATGATGTGATTCCAACAAAAATAGTCTGAAAATGTTAGGCAGGAAGCTTCCCAAGATTATTCAGAGAGATCTATTTTAGCATATACAGAAGCATAATTCCTTGTTTTTTGGTAGTGTTAGAGATGGAAGCCAGGGCCTTGTGCATGCTAGGCAAGTGCTCTACCTTCAACTCTCCTTGAAATTTTAAATTACCTGACTGTAAATATGCTAAGTCAATAGGTATTCTAAGAATGAATTTCCAGTTCAAGATAAGATTAAAATATTCTGGGCTAACCAAATTTAATCTGCATCTTTACTGAAGGACTTCTCAGAATGTTCAATATGCTAATGTGCACTATGATTGCCTAATACAGGACAGTGTTCAGCTTTTCCCCAAATTACCTGACTATGGAATCCTTTTTTCCCCCCAGTATATCTAATGACTAATAGTCAATAGAACAGTTAAGTTCCTCTGCTTTCATTACAAATCTCCTCTCCTCAATTCAATCCATCAAACTGACCCCTTTCCTATATTCCCTGTGTCTTTCCCATCTGGAAGCTACTGGCTTTTAGACCTCAGTGCTCTGGAATGGCAAATACCCTCTAATTTTCTGGCTTAATGATTGAAAAAAGAAAGTAGCTTTAAAGTTTATGATATCATACAAGGTATTCATCTCCTTATATGACAAGCAAATCATTCCATTTTTACTGAATAAGAAGATGCCACTTTTTTTTTTTTCCCTTTTGCAGTGCTGAGGATCAAATCCCAAGTCTTGTGCATGTTAGGCAAGTGTTCTACCATTGAGCTACACCTTCAGTCCCTGCTTTCCCTCTTTCACAGACCTTATCTATGCACTCACAGGTAACAGACTCAAGCCCTTGATGGAATAAAAAGGATAATAGTTTAAATTCAGATTTACCTAAAAGACCAGAATACCTCAATCATCCACAATGAAGGCCGAAACCTAATGCAAAGTGACAGAAAGGTGAAGGGTAAGGAACAGAGGTAATTTGGGAATAGAATAGCTTTTGATTTTTTTTGGTACTGCAGATTGAACCCAGGGGAACTTTATCACAGTCCTTTTATGTCCTAATTTTTATTTTGAGACATGGTCTCACTAAGTCACTGAAGCTGCTCTTCACCTTATGATCCTCCTGCCTCAGCCTCCTGAATAGCCAGGATTACAGGCATGTGCCCTAGCACCTGGTCCTAGAATAGCTTTTTGAATCCTGTAGAGTTAATCTTCCTAGTAAAACTTCAGTCAATGACTAGAACCAATTTAATTCCTAATATAGAATACCCAAAGTTAAATGTAACTGATTAAACAATCCATTTTTGATTATCTACTTTTCATTATAATTTAGAATAATTAAGAACAGTATGTCTGTTTCATTCAGGATCTATAATAACTCCTTTAAACTGAAGATGGATCTTTTTTCTCAAGTTATTTTGATACTTTCTCCCTGGAGCTAAGTTTGAGAAAAGACCTTTAGAACATGATAAGGCATTTTAGAGATGTCAATGTTGGAATACTAAATAAATAAAAAAGAATCAAGTAAGCCAAAGGCTTGTTTCATTTTATATCACTGTGTTTGTAAAGTTGCATTTACTAACAGTTCAAAGAGTAATTTTAATTTATAATGAAAATTTATAACCCAACTAAAAAAAATTCATTGCTACATAACTGAAATTATGTAATTATTTATTTATAAAATAACAAAAAATTTATGAATAAATCTGTTTATTGTACTATGAAAATGGTCTTGGTACATGTGAGAAACACATACTTTGAGGACAGCATTCAACTGTTAAGACAAAAGACAAACCATAATTTTAAACTCAATCTTGATTTAAGGGAAGGCTATAAATTATTGGCTGGAATGCATTCAGCATGAACTCAGATTCTACATAACATAAAGCATGAAAGAGTACAAAAGATATTCAAGTCCAATAAGCCCATAACTAAATTTTAAACTGTAAAGCTTCCAGGACTTTTTGATTATTCTTATATACTAGTTTTCTTCTGAGACAAGTTGATTTTATCTCCAAGAGATAAGGCCATCCCCTGAAAAGAAGAATAAAGATGTTTATTATTATTGAAACTGTACAACCAGCAGGTTATTCCAGGGGAATTAAGCCTCCATTCGATGATACCACATCAAAAATAAAACCAAAGATATAAAAACAGACTCACCAAAATTTTACTGTGTTGAGTATATTACAGTGCTAGATCGACAAGTCACTACATTTATACCTTGACTTTCAAAACAAACAAAAACCTCTCTAGAATCCATTTCACAAATACCCCACAGAAATCAGTTGTTTTAAGCAAATATCCAAAAGTGATAGACCTAAAAGGTGGGCCTTTTAAATGAAGCAAAAGTTACATTTCTATTCATCAAATACTATCCTTATATATGTGTGAATAGGCATAAAACATGAGTATAACAGAAGATATTACCTAGAGAAATAATAAAACAAATTCTTCCTCCTGTTTAGTTCAGAGATGCTCTCATAAAAAGGAATTGTTACCTGACTCTTTGCACGAATTCTTATGTGGCCAGTAACAGCAGCATCTGGTCCCTGGTGAATTGGCTTCTCAATGCTGACATTTGCAAGTGCATCTTCTCCAAATATGGAACGAGCATAAAGATTGGCTGCCATGAAGCCACAGTAACCAGAAAGGGCCTGGGGGAGATTTGTAATAAATTCAGTAGTTTACTAGAGAACTACATACTGGCAAAACCAGACAACATAAGTGAATTATTTAAAGTAGTACTTATGTGGTAGTGGTTACAGGACCATGCGTTTGCCAAAATTCATACAACTATACATATGAAAAGTGTGAATTTTACTGTCTGTGCATTATTTTTCAACAAACCTGACTTAAAGAAATAGTACTCATTCCAATATGTATTTATGTATCTCTGCCTTATTCATTTGCTTCCTTCACAGGATCTTAAGCTCCATGAAGGAAGAGAATATTATCATTGGACTCAGTATATGTTGAATAAACTGTTACATGAATTAAAACCTACCTGCTTGGGAGCAGACATTCTTTATTTCTGTTTCTGTCTGTCTCTCTGTCTTTGCAGTATTAGGAATGGAACCCAGGGCTTTCTGCATGCTATGTAAGCATTCTAAACTGAGTTTAGAGTTTGACAGCAGACATTCTTTTATTGATAAAATAAATATTGTAACATTAATACAAATTTTATACAGAAAAAAAATTCCTTAGAGTGCTGGCTCCATTTCTGCCTTTCTTTTCTAGTCTTTTTTCGTATACTCACAAATAGAACGGAGAGTCATAGTATAATAAGAATTTTGAACTTGGGGGGGGGGGGAATAAAAGAACCCTGAATTTAAGCAGATATATTCTGACCTATAGTCAGAGTCCACTGGAGAAGTCATGAATACTTTCTAATCCAGTATTACAAATAAATTATTTTGGAATAAGCCTCTATCTGGAAAGGGAAGAAAACTGAAAAAAATAATTTGACTATTCTGACTATTCAGTTGGGTAACTGCACCAGGAACAAGTAGGATGATATATTTAAAAAGAAACAGGTAAGTGGATTCAAACATTATATAGGTAACTTGCTTCAGATACTCCAGAACAACACTATTTTTACCAAACTGAATTATAACAAAAACACATTAAAGGAAATATAAGGTAACCAGGAATTCATTGTTACTACTCTCTTGTCAAATTTTGAAATTTCCTAATCAAATTTTACCTTCTCTGGAGTGAGGCACTTCATGTTGGTTGACTTTAATATGTGCTGTAGGTAGTCATTTAAATCAATCATATTGGTGTTAACTGTCACCTACAGAGGAGAAAAAAGTTAAGGAGATCAAAATCCTATAATAAGAAAGTTGTGAATCACTGGTATTTTTAGAACCTCCTTCAACTCTTTAGGAGAAGAGGGTGCAACAAAAAAGTAAATGACATCTACAAAATCTAACAACTTGCAGGTTGGTATTAGTACTTTTAGATATAGATAACTTCACAGAAGATCAATGAGGTATATAGACTAGTTCTAATAAAAAAAAAAAAAAATTGAGGCTGAGCTGGTTATGGTGGCACTCCTGCAATCCCAGTGACTTGAGAGGCTGAGGCAGGAGGCATGCAAGTTTGAATCCAGCCTCAGCAGTTGGTGAGACCCTTAGTAAATGCACAAGACCCTGCCTCAAAAGAAAAAAGAAAGAACTGGTGATGCAGCTCAGTGGTAAAACATCCTGGTTTAATAACCACTTGATCAAAAACAAAAACCTACCAAAAAAACTTTAAAAAAAGTATCAAGGCTCAAAGAAGCAAAGTTCCTTACAGGCAACAGACTTTTTGCAAGCCCCTTTGGATAATAGATTCAATTTATCATTCATACATGGAAGGGATGGAATATTTAATGTTTTAATCAATGAGATTTATTATTAATTATAGAATTATTAATCAATTTATAACAGCAAATACTAAACAAATACATGATTTCTAATTAAGGCTAATTTATAAGAACAGCTAATAAAGAACTATTTGTTTTTCATGTTTGACTTTTTTTTAAGTGGAATTAATTTAATCAGAGAATCTTTTAGCACTACTCAAAAGAAAGATTAAGAGGCAAAAGATCTCCCAAAGACTAACTTTGTTTTCCCATTCAAATTCGGCCCACATCTGACGGAATTCGGCATCAGTGCAAGTTGCAGGCTGGATATAGTCCATGATGTCAATGTGGATATCGCTGAGGACCACACAATTTCTGTCACTTGCTGCTCCAGAGACATCATAAACTGTAATATACATATATAAAAAGAACCATAATCATATATATATATATATATATATATAAAATACCATATATTGGGCTCTATTCTAAGTGCTTTACAAACACTATCTGTTTTACAATCAATCCTAATAGTATTGTTTTCAATCATACAGATGAGAAAATAAAAACACAGAAGAAAAATATGTTGCTCAAGGTCATCCAACTGATCAGTGGTGAGGCCAGGATTCAGGCATGCTTTCTTTGGGTTGCTGCTAAACAAATAATTCAATTCACTGTGCAGATGTAAAAGGCACTACAGTGGATACATGAGTAGGACAGAGTACCTACAGTAGGTCCCAATTAAAATTTTTGAATGAAAACTGTTGAACCATAGCATTTAAAACAAGATTATTTGCTTCTATTGACTGCCTCTTCCATAGTAGAAAGTTATAATCTAATTGGAATCTACCTTTTCTCTTTTGAACTCTTCTGTCGACATTCCCCCACTCTTTCTATATTCAGAGAAAAGTAAAGGTACCAAGAAAAACCTCCTAAAACTAAATCTCCCTCTCTTGGAATCCACTTCCACCTCCTTCCTTTTCATATCAGAAGTGCTGCCTCTTTTCAAGATTAGTCTACCTATCATTTGTGATCCTTGTTTTGGTTCAGGACTTTACTCATTTAATTGTTATCTCTTTCAGACTTGGTCTTTACTTCCCGTTCTCTATCAACATTTCCCCCTACATTATATACATATATTCATATATCCGAGGATCTCTTTTCATTATCAAAAAAAAAAAAAAAAACCTACTCCATCCTTGCATTCTTTTCTGGCTACTGTTCTCTTTTAATCCTATCAAAGCCAAGGGCCTATACTCTGAGGCACTGGGTTGAAACCTCAGCACCACATAAAAATGAAATAAAGATACTGTGTCCACCTACAACTAAAAAATAAATACTTAAAAAAAAAAAAATCACAGATGGATAAATCCAAAGGACCCCTCTTTTCTGACTTCACTGTTACTTAATCTCTTATGGTTTCAGATATTTCTGAAAGATTTTTCTTTACTTTTCTAACCACACTTGAGAATCCTTTATAGGCTCCTCCTCCTCTGACCAAACTTTTAATATTACTGTTTTCCTGCATGGCTTTGCAGAAACCTCAGTGAGAAATGATAGAAGGCTTAAGCCAAGAGAGTTAAATGGCTGAAAGGGAAAGAAGGACCGAAAATAATAGGTGTTAAGGAGATGGTTACTAAACTCTAGGTGTATCAAGTTACTTGCATCTGTTCTAGCTGCCTCCTTATCTATCTGTAGAACACTGATCTTTTAAAATTGTTTTAAAAAAATATGCTTCCTAAATGAATGCTCCTGTACAAACTAACCTCTAGGTTTGAAATACCTGTGTGCTTGGTTATAAGTGCTTATATGAAGTTTCAGACTCAATTCAAATGTTATCCTTTGAAAAAACACCCTCTTTCTTTATAAAGCTTTCTCCATTGTTAGCATTTTTTTCCTATATGAACCTAAAGCATTTAGTATATCAACTAAGGCTTATACTATTATCCCAGTTATACATTTTTATATCTATCTTGTTCATTTGTCTGGTGGTTTCTTGAGGAAAGTGACACTATCCGGTTCATTTCTGCACATCTCGAATACAATACATACGAGAGAAAAGTACCTCATAAGTGATACATAAATAGAGTCAAGTCCTAACTTCAAGCCATGTACACAGCTATTCCCTACAGAAATTCTTTAATAAAAATATTCAAACATCACATGCCATAAAACAGTTTCTTACCTATATTGCCAAAAATTATTCCATTTTCTGTTGATGCTACCTTGACATTAGCTTTAATATTTGCAAAATCATGAGGAGCAAGAGTCAAAGGAGATGGCTTTTCCACAAGTTTCAGATCCCCTGGGGGAGAAAGAGTTTGAACATTTTTTTTTAAATTACATATATATGTGTGTGTGTGTGTGTGTGTGTATGTATATATATATATACTAACCACAAAACATTAAAATATATAAAACTTATGTTTCTAACATGAGAAGAATTATGATTGAAATATTAGGACAAAATAAAGAAATCATTTAATATTCTTATTATTCATACCAATCTGCACATTTTGTTTTAAAAGGTAACAGGCATCTCAGGATTAAGTCCATTTAATCATATGTGTATGTGGAGAGGTACTTTAAACATACCATTTGATTTCAGTGAAAGAATACAAACTTCTCAAAAAGCTTGGGTCCTAAGTATATACTCCTTTACAATGAAAGACAAAACAATCTGTAAAAAGACTTAAATTCTTAGAGACAGAGTTCCTTGTATATAGGTATCAAGCTTGCTGAGGAAGACAGGGCAAAATTATGGTTCCCTCAATACCGTGAAACCCTGTTACAGAAGCCAAATGGAATTTGCCGGGGACAGTGCCCTGTTCCTGCATACAATTCACATTTTCAAAACCAGATGATAAGTGGTCAGAGAAAGTTTGACTCATGTGTCTTTATTAAGAAGAAAATAAGCCATCACATGTTGCTAACTGCAATAATGATGCATTATTTTAGCTGCTCGTGTACTAACAGGATTTATAAAATACCTAATTCTGAACTAAGACAATTAAAATTAAGTGAGCTACTTGGAGTGTGTGTGGGTGTGTGTGTGTGTGTGGAGAGATACAGGTATTCATTCACTGAAATCAAATATATTTAAAGTACTTCTCCACATACACTTAAACAGCTCTTATTATATCTAGAAAAACTGACATTTGCTAGATAAAACTCAGAATTGAACCTATTTAATGAGTTAATAGCATAATCATGGTTAAGTATGACAAAGGTTCAGAAAATTGAAGTTGAAGACAAAATTTTAAATTAAAGTTAAAAAAAAAAAACACAAAGGGCTTTTGTGAAGGATCTTTACAATGAAAACTACAGAACCATTAAGAAAGAAATTGAGGAAGACCTTAGAAGATGGAAAGACCTCTGTGTTCTTGGATAGGCAGAATCAATACTGTCAGAATGGCCATACTACCAGAAGTGCTATACAGATTCCCATCAAATGCAATTTCCATCAAAATTCCAATGACATTCTTCATAGAAATACAAAAAACTGTCACAAAATTCATTTGGAGAAACAAGAGGTCCAGAAAAGGTAAAGCAATCCTTAGAAAAATGAAGCAGGAGGCATCATAATACCAGAACTTCAACTCAAAGTGGATCAAAGACCTAGGAATTAGACCAGAAACCCTGTACATACTAGAAGAAAATATAGGCTGAACACCTTAACACATTGACTCAGGAACTGACTTCCTTAACAAAACTCCTAAAGCATAAGAAGTAAAATAAAAAATCAATAAATGGGAAGGTATCAAACTAAAAGGCTTCTTCACAGCAGAGTAAACAGGTGTGAAAAGAGAACCTACAGAATGGGAGAAAATCTTTGCCACCTGTACCTCAAATAAGACGTTAATTTCCAGGATATACAAAGAACTCAAAAAGCTCAACACCAAAAAAATAAATAACCCAATCAATAAATGAGCAAAGGGGCTGGGGATGTGGCTCAAGCGGTAGCGCGCTCGCCTGGCATGCGTGCGGCCCGGGTTCGATTCTCAGCACCACATACAAACAAAGATGTTGTGTCCGCCGAGAAATAAAAAAAAAAATAATAAAATATTAAAAAAAAAAAAAAATAAATAAATAAATGAGCAAAGGAACTGAAGAGACCCTTCTTAAAATAAGAAATACAAATGGTCGATAAATATATGAAAAAAATGTTCAACATCTCTAGCAATTAGAGAAATGAAAATTAAAACTACACTAAGATTTCATCCCACCATACTCAGAATGGCAATTATCAAGATTACAAGTAACAACAAATGTTGGTGAGATGTGAGGGGAAAGGGAACACTCATATATTGTTGGTGGACTGCAAATTGGTGCAACCCCTCTGGAAAACAGTATGGAGATTCCTCAAAAAAATAAATGTGGGGGCTGGGGACATAGCTCAGTTGGTAGAGTGCTTACCTTTCATGCACAAGGCCCTGGGTTCAATCCCCAGCACCACAAAAAAAAAAAAAAAATAAAAAAAAAAATAATAAATGTGGGTCAAGTGACTATTTGACCCACTAGTTATCCTACTCCATGGCATATATCCAAAGGATTTAAAATCAACATACTACAGTGATGCAACCACATCAATGTTTATAGCAGCACAATTTATAAAAGCTAAGCTATAGAACCATCCTGATGTCCATCAACAGATGAATGGATAAAGAATTTGTAGTATGTACACTATAACTATAGTAATGGAATATTACTCAGCCATAAAGAAGAATGACTTTATGACATTTGCCAGTAAATGGATAGGTCTGAAGACTATAATGCTAAATGAAATAAGCCAATTCCCAAACACCAAAGGTTGAATGTTTTTGCTGATATGTGGAAGCTAAACCATAATAAAGGCAGGGAGGGGAAGACTAGAAGTTCAGTAGATTAAGCAAAGGGCAATGAAGGGAAGGGAAAGAGATAAGAAAAGGAAAGACAGTAGAATAAATCTAATGTAATTTTCCTATGTACACATATGAAAATACCTATGTGAATCCTACCTTTGTGTCCACCCATAAGAATGGGTTCCTAATTAGAATAAGATATATTCCATGCTTGTATAACTTTATCAAAATGTAATCTACTGTCATGTATAACTAAGAAGCACTAATTAAAAAAAAAAAAAAAGAATTCTTATACTGAAACCTGTGCACTTATGATAAATTTCCTTACCTAGAGTAGCTAACTCTAATGTGCAGTTCTGCAAAGTATCACTGGTTTGGTTCACGACAAGTACATCCAGGACGATATCATACTGATTGACATGAACATAAGCTTCTGCATATACAGGATCTGAGAAACCTGTCAACTGGGTGACCTGTCAAAACAAAAATAAATGTAATCATAATCAAGGAAATGACACAATTTAACCAAACATACCTTAATCAAATGATTAAGTTTGGTTAATTAACAGATGTGCTTAGATTAGAAAAGATATTTTGAGAGAGATGTAATAAAATGGTTCTGTAATGCAGAAATGGAAACTGAAACAGGGAAAATTAGAAATAATAGGTCCTAAAGCTTAAAAAGTTATCCAAACAATACAGAACTTAAAATTCTAATTTAAAAGATGATATCCAGCATGTATTGGTTTTTTGTTTTGTTTTAGTGTTGGAGACTGAACCAACCCAGAGCCTTGTACATGTTAAGCATGAACCCTAGCACTGATCTACAACTCCAGACCATCTATTTTTTAAGCTGACTTCATATAATGTATTTTATAAATGCTGATTAGTAGTTAGTAGTTCTGCGGCAGAAAGATGTTCAATGTTTGGCAAATACATTAAACATTGTCCTAACTCAACAACTGTATACATTTGTATATATTTTCATTTAAATTTCTTAATTAAGTATCTAAACTCAAAATTTGCCCTCTGAAACTCAGGAGCCAAATAAAATTAAGATAATGTGGTAGTCTCTTCTACTCAACTCAAGCTCAAGAAGTAAACAGATCATAACAGCAAGAGATGCTTGTAATGTCATCAAAATAAAATTTAAAATGCCTCTCCTAAATTTAAAAAACTCCCAAGATATAGCACTTAAAAATGTAATATTTGGGCTGGGGCTGTGGCTCAACAGTAGAGCACTCACTTGGCATGTGCGTGCCCTGGGTTCAATCCTCAGCACCACATAAAAATAAAGGTATTGTGTCCAACTACAACTAAAAAAATAAATATAAAAAAAAAGTCATATAGTCATCAAAAGCATAGGCAACAAAAGAGAAAACAGATTAATTAGAATTTGAAGGATTTGAAGAGACAATCCTCTAAAGAAGTTATACAAATAGCCAATAAACACATGAATAGTTTTTTTTTTTTAAACTCCTGGTGGGGGCTGGGGTTGTGGCTCAGCGGTAAAGTGCTCACCTAACATGTGTGAGGTCCTGGGTTCAATCCTCAGCACCACATATAAATAAATAAAATAAAGTATTAAAAAAAAAAAAAAACTGCAGGTGGGGTTGTGGCTCAGAGGTAGAGCACTTGCCTCACATGCGTGAGACACTGGATTTGATCCTCAGCACCACATAAAAATAAAATAAAGATATTGTATCCACCTACAGCTGAAAAATAAATATTAAAAAAAAAAAAAAAAACACAAAAAACAGCAGGACAGGGCTGGCGATGTAGCTCAGTGTTAGAGTACTTGCCTAGGACTTGAGGCTTTGGGTTCAACCCCGCCCCCAGCACTGTAAAAACAAAACAAAACAGTTGGCCTCAAACTTATGATCCTCCTGTTTCAGCTTCCTAAGCCATTAGAATCACAGGCATGTGTTTTTTTCTTTTCTTTCTTTTTTTTTGGGGTACTGGAGATTTAAGGCAGGGATGCTTACCCTGAGCTACACCCCCAACCCTTTTTGTTTTTTATTTTGAGACAGGGTCTCATTAAGTTGCTTAGAGCCTTGCTAAGTTGCCGAGGCTGGCCTCAAACTTGTGATCCTCCTGCCTCAGCCTTTCAAGCCACTGGGATTACAGGTGTGTGCATATGCACCCCAACTCTTGATTACTACTTTCTTAAGTAGTTAATTTAAACAATTTACAGCATATTTGATATTTTGTTACCTTGTTAAGTTTAGATGCTAGGGGATCTGCTGCTTCTTTCCTCTGTGTGTTACCCATTGCTGCCAACAAACTCAGCTGAAACTGATCTTCCTTGCAGTTCATTTCATTCTTAGCAGTTAGTTGCATGAAGGAAATGGGGTCATCAGGCTGTACTGTCACATTTCTCTTTTCAGATTCTTTCTGTGTTGAGAAAAAACAGACACATGACTTTATATGGAAAAAGTTTTTACAGGCCTTTAATAGGAACAGCCTCATCACATGGGGACTGAAAAATCAACAATAAAAACCCAGAAAGTACTTTCATAACCTTATATTTATTTACCTTTTGAGATAGTTTCTCTTCTTCAAGTTTAGCAGATAGCATCTGAGAAAGGGACTGTCTGCATTCCTTATTAAAAATGTCGTTCATTAAAGGTGAACATTCAGATAAGACCTTGAGGCACAGGGAAATTCTGTCTACATCATCATCAGTAATTGGCTTCTTAGGAAGAGAGGATTTTCCCAAATGAAGGATAGTTGCCATGAGCAACATAGCCTCAGCAACAAAAGACTAGAAAAACAGAGAAATTGGTCATTGTGTCATGATTCCCCAAATTGCAGTACTGTTACTTCATAATTCAAGAAATAACTCATAACTCAAGAATAAATCTAATTTTTAATTTCACTTGAATAAGACTTCAAATCCTTTACATTATCTCTACAGTATCCTTTTTGTATACTTCTCCTTTTAAATTCTAACCTTTTGAGATTTCCATTAATAGCCTCAAATATGGCCTTATCATATACTGAAAAACAGTAATGCCTTTTTAATGGTTTCTGCTTTCATCCTAACTATAGAAAAATTAAAAGAATGATACACTCACTAATTGTTGACATTTTGCCATATATGCTTTCTTATTTGCTCAGATACATACATTTATTTTTTTATTCATATATGAAAGTAAGATTCTTTATCTCATAACTTCATTAGCATCTATCATCTAAGAATTAGGACAGTTTCCAATCAAACCACAATATTATTTTCTTACCAGAGAAATTTAACAATCCCAAATTATATCTACTATATTTTGAAATCAAATCTTCCTATATTATTTCAAAATGTTTTTACTTTTTAAATCCAAGATCAGCTTCATGCATTTTATTTGGCTATTATTCTGTTTAGTCCCTTTTAATCTAGACCAGTTTCCTGTTTGTTTTTAATTACAGTGACTTTCTTAAAGAAGCCAGACCAACTTATTTTTTTTTAATAGAATGTTTCATCATTATGGCTAAAATACCTGATACATTATATTTTATATTCCTAAATACAATGTATCAGGAAGCATGTACTGGTTGTTCCACTACTAGTGATGTTAAGTGTGATCACCTATTGCTATCTTATATGGCACAAGCATTTTACTCTGCATGTAAATACCTTCAGTGATTTCCCCTGACCTTCATACTGAAGTCCACATTACTTGGCCTGCCATTCAAAGCCTTCCACAAGTGAATTCCAGATTATTTTTTTCAGTTTCATGTAGCATCATCCTGACATAGATGCTCTATGCCCTTGCCAAACTGCCTGGATACAATATCTTTATTTTATTTATTTTTATGTGGTGCTGAGGATTGAACCCAGAGCCTCACATGTGTGAGGCAAGCACTCTTCCACTGAGCTACATCCCCAGCCCCTTTCATAGTTTTGATTATATCATTCTTTGATTATTTTAGCAATAAAGTAAAAAAAAAGAAATGAACAAAAATAAAATAAAAACATCCATAAATTTACTAATGAATTTTTTTTTTTTTCCCCTTTTTGGTACCAGGAATTGAACCTAGGGATGCTTAACCACTGAGTCCTTTATATTTTTTACTTTGAGACAGAGTCTCATTAAGTTGTTTAGGGACTCACTAAGTTGCTGAGGCTGGCCTCAAATTTGCAATTCTCCTGCCTCAGCCTCCTGAATCATTAGGATTAAAGACATGCACCAATATGCCTGTTCCATGGAAATATTTTAAAAATGAAAGCAAAGAGTTTAAGAAAAATAAAAGTTGAGAGGATTCTCACCAGCACATTTGTATTATAAGAATGATCAAGTTGTTTAGGCAGAAAGAAGACTGATGAAAATTTGAATTTTTTGACACAAAGGAAAGAAAAGCACTATAAATGGTAAATATAAGACTTTTCCTCACTTAAAAAAAAAAAAAATCTTTTGGCAGGGCAGTGCATGTCTATAATCCCAGTTACCATCAGCTACTCAGGGGGCAGGAGGATCTTCAAAGCCGGTTTTGGCAACTTAACAAGACCCTATTTCAAAAATTAAAAGGGCTGAGGAGTTGGAGTTGTAGGCTCTGGGTTTGATTCCCAGCAGTGCAAAGAAGATGGGAAAAAATAATAGATTTTTTTTTTTTTTTTTTTGGATGAAGATTCTGGAGAGAGAGGGGCATTTCCTTTACTGGTCCTTGATTAATCCCAGCAAACAGAAGTAACTTCATAAACCCTTTTGTGTCCTCCACTAGTCTACACACGTTATCATTACTGTATTGCTCTATCTATTTTTCACTCAGATTGTACTATTATATCCATTTTTCCTATTAAACCATGAGCTCTTTCATTATAGGATTATCTTATGGGGTTCTCACTGTTCAATACATATAATTGGTGCTCAATAATAAATTGGTGAGTAAATGTAGAATAAATTAACTTACATTTTGTTTTTTCTTCTCTGGAACCAAAGCTACATAGCGCAATGCAATCTTGGTCAGAGTGGTGGCAAGGGAGGCAGCAACAAAGAAATCTCCATCCAGAAGGAATCCTCTCAGGGGAGGTCTGCAGTCCAGTGAAGGAAAATGAAAACCACTAACTTCTTAAGCAGCTGCAGCTTTTGTACAAATGATTTACATAAATCACCCTCACTCCCAACCTTCAGTTAAATCCTTCTTTGGCTCTCAAAAAGAAAAAGAATACATGATGTTAATACTTATCTTCAAATCACTCAAGAGCCAAATGAATGAAAGTAAAAAAATGTTTAGTTAAGGAGGCTGAGGCAAGAGGATCGCCAAGTCCAAAGCCAACCTCAGCAACTTAGCAAGACCTTAAGCAATTTAATGAGTCCCTGACTTAAAATAAAAAATAAAAAGAACTAAGGATGTCATTCAGCGAATAAGCATACTTCGATTCAATTCCTGGTACAAAAAAAGAAAAGAAAAGGGTGTATGTCCTGGAGCTAATGACTTTCAAATCCCAGTTTATCTATTTATTTATTGGGTAGGTTACAAACTTCTCTAAGTCAAATTTCTCTTCTATAAAATGGAGATGATATAAACACAATCTATCTCAAAAGGTTTTTGTCAAGACCATATGAGACAAACTACTTAGCACAATGCTTTGCACACGGTAAGTATTCAATAAATTTTAGGCATAATTTTCATCATCTTCATCACAAAAAAAAGAGAGTAAAATAAAGGCGAAAACATTAAAAATGTTATTCCATCATTTGGGGGGAAAAAAACCAAGAAGAAATGGAAATCTCCAAAATATCTCTTCAGATACTAATGGGCAACCAAACTCAAATATCATATTTACCTCCACTTCATATTTTCCATGTGAGTAAAATGATTTTAAACAGTCATTTCAGTGAAAACAGAAGAGCAGAGGATTAAAACCATCAACACAATTCATGGGGGAAAAAGTAAACACCTTCCTCCTTTCAAGTACTTTAAAGGGCAAAGACTTTCATTTTGGTTACAAAAACAAATGAATAAAAGAAATCATGTGACTGTTTTATACATGAGAATTATAATAAAAATAGTTCAGCTGGCAGGGCACAGGGACCATAAATTACCTGTCTTCCTCTTTCTTGGTGGGTCTAGAACTGCTGAGGGCACTCTGAGTTGCATAAGTACCCATTTCAGTAACCAATTTTTGAACTGGCCCCACAGTTATTTCTTCTTCAGGCTTTAATTCACCAGCTTCTTTCTTTATTTCTGACTCCACAATTGGGATCTAAAAAATCAATTAGAAAAATCAATTTAATAGTAATATGAATAACAAGCAAAATCATGTTTCTTTGTTTATTTACTATCTGCAGTACTATAGATTTTTTTTCCCTTAACTTTATTACCCCTGAATTTCATCCTCAATCCTTTTTAAAATTTTGAGATAGGATCTTGCTCTCAAAGTTTAGGCTGGTCTCAAACTTGCAATCCTCCTGCCTCAGCCTCCCAAGTTGCTGGGATAACAGGTAGGTGCTATAACAAGCTACAAAATCACATTTTTCCTTCCTTCTTAGGAAATGCAATGGGAAGAACAGAGGCTCTTGGCTTTAAATTTCTCTCTCTGCCACTATACTAGTATATGGTTCTGGAAAGTTAATTAAACTACGTTGAGCCCCAGTTTCTTAATTTGTTAAGTGGAAATCACTTCCATACCAAGTTACTTTCGAGAAAAATGCATTGGCTTTATTCTTCATCTGTTCTCTTAAAATATTAACCTAAACCAGCACTCATCTTTCTATAAAAAGAAATAAATTTGACTCATTTGTACCAATCACTTCATCAACCATCCTTTTTAATTAACCAAGGGCTACTTTGTATTTATTCCTTAATACTAGTCTAATTTAAGAGTTCTCATTGGGCACCGTGGTGGCACTTCTGTAGTCCCAGCAACTTGAAAGGCTGAGACAGGAGGATTGAAAGTTCAAAGCCACTCTCAGAAACTTAGTGAGGCCCTAGGTAACTTATCGATACCCTGTCTCAAAATAAAAAAGTAAAAAGTGCTGGGGAATTTAGCTCAGTGGTTAAGTGCACCCAGGTTCAATCCTGGTGGTGGGGGGGGATGAGTGCTCAAGAGTCTTTAATCATTACCAATTTCAACACTTTCGATTTTATAGAGGAAAAAACTAAAATCCAGTTCAGAAACTTAAATTCAAGGTTCTAGAGCTAATTACTGGCAGAACCAAAAGAAGGCACCCCTAATTTTAAGGAATAAATACAAAGTAGCCTTTAAGGCTCAATTATCTGGCTAATAAAATATATTTTTCAGTCCGGTCACTACTAAATAAAAACACGAATGTAAATCATCACATAAAAGATTTTTTCTTTTTTGGTGATGCTGGGGATTGAACCCAGGGCCTCTCACATGCTAGGCAAGCACTCTACCACTGAACTATGTCCCTAGACCACTAGATTTTTCAGAAGCATTAATCACCATATAAAGCAAGATTTACACTGACTGTGGCGGTGCATGTTTGTAATCTCTGCAATTTGGAAGTCTGAGGCAGGAGGATCACAAGTTCAAGGTCAGTCTCAGTAACTCCTGGAGACCCTCAGCAACTTAACAAAAACCTATCTCAAAAGAAAAATGACTAGTGATGTAACTCAGCGGTAAAGTACCTCTGAAATCAAGTTCCAGTACCAAAGATAAGCAAGCAGGATTTACTAAAGTAAAACATACCTCTCCAAGGGACCTACGGACTTCCGTCATCACACTTTGAATATCTTCCTTGGTACTACAGTATTCTCCCAGGATCCATAATGCACCTCGATAAATCCTAGGATAAGAATACAAAATCTGAAACACAGACCTCAAAAAGAAATCCTGAAGCAGAAATCTTTCTTTGTGAATTTAAGCTCAAGTGAAAAAAATAAGATTCTGCAGTTCCAATGAAGTATGGAAGAATGTTTCAGATAGAATGTAACAATAAGTTTTTATTCTTTCCAGAAATCACAAGAAAAATTACTCTTCTCATTTCTCATTATTGGGAAGCTTCTAAAGTTGACAAACCCAGTATTAAAAATAAAATGCCAAAACACTTCCCAGGAAAGTGTCCCTTATGGCAGTTAAGGTAAATTTGGCTTTATCACTTTCTACTATAAGATATGTATTATTTTAATGAAAAACTAATTTACTTATCTGTAGTCACTGAAGAGACAAACAGAACAATATATACAGAGGTGCAAGAACATTCATGCTAGGGTGTGTAGCTCAGTAGTGAAACATTTGTTTGGCATGTGAGAGATCATGGGTTTAATCCCAAGCACAGGAAAAACAAAACAAAATACAGCAAAACAAAACCTAAACACAGCAATGATGACTATAATCCTATCCACCAGGAAGGTTGAGGCAGGAGGATCTCTAGTTGAAAGCCAGCCTGGGCAACGTAGTGAGACCTGTTTTAGAGTGAAGTAAAAAGAGCTGGGAATGGCAGATCAGTGGTACAGTGCTTGCTTAGCATGCAGGAGGCGTTACGTTCAATCCTCAGTGGGGGAAAAAAATAGCAAAAATTCTCTGATTTAAAATGTTAAAGTGGGGAAGGGAGGGGATATGGGGTTATAAATGATGGTGGAATATGATGATCATTATTATACAAAGCACATGTATAAAGACATGAATTGGCGTGAATATACTTTGTATACAACCAGAGATATGAAAAATTGTGCTCTATATGTGTAATAAGAATTGTAATGCATTTTGCTATCGTATATAAAAAAGAAAAAAGAAAAAAAATGTTAAAGTGGCTAAAGTCTTCACTCTTCTTTTCCCTAAGATTTTAAATTTACTCAGAAAAAAAAATCAATTTAGAAACTGAAGTTTTAAGAGTTTATGGCTTTCAATGATATGATTTTTTTTCCCCCTCAGGAAGGAAACAAATCTTACTCACTTCCATGTAATACTTCATATTATAAAGACAATTTTGTATGGGTCCCTTCCTTCTTATCTAAGCAGATATAACTCAAGTCTGTCATAGGATACTCATCAGATTCTTGTGTGTGTGTGTGTGTGTGTGTGTGTGTGTGTTGGGGTGGGTATTGAACATAGGGCCTTGCACATGCTGGGCAAGCATTCTATCATTGATCTATAGTTCCATATTCCTAGCCCTTTTTATTTTTTATTTTTGAGATGAGTTTTACTGTTACCAAAACTACCCTCAAACTTGCCATCCTACTGCTTCATCCTCCTGGGTAGCTAGAATTATATGTGTGCTGACACCTGGCCAGCCATCAGATTCTTAAAATGAAGCCGAATTTGCATTCAACAATTCTTTCTTGGTACTGGGGATACAGTCTGGTGGTAAGGTATTTGCCTAACACCATCAAGGTCCCAGGTTTGAGTAACTACCACAAACAAACAATAAAAAATAAATAATCCTTTCTCATTAGTAAGGGCCATGTGAAGAGAAACACACATCAGATTTGGGTTGCATTTCCTATCTTTCTCTTCAACAAATGTTAAAAGGGGATATAAATAACAACAATATTTCAAAAATACACCATTTAAAAATATATAAAAATATGCTTCTTAGTCACTTTAGAATTCATACTGTTTTAGAAGAAATCAGAAAGAAAAATCTAGCTAAATCAACTATAAAATAAATTTAGCTCCTCTCCATTCTATATAATGTTTTATCCAGAAGTAGGAACTGAATCCAGGAGCACTACCATTGAGCTATATCCCCAATTCTTTTTATTTTTTACTTTGAGATAGCTTCTCAAAGTTGCTCAGGCTGACCTCAAATTATGAGCCTTCTAATTCAGCTTTCAAAGTAGCTGAGATTACAGGTGTGCCCCACTAAGCCCATCTCTCTCCATTATACTTTCTATCAATTAGCTCTTTGAAGACAGAAATTGATAAAATGCTCACTTGACATTATACCAAAATATATTTTAAACCTACTTGACAGATTTAATAGCATGAAAGACTTCAAGCATCTTCTCAACAATCAGCATTCTCAAACTATCAAAGCGCTGAATGGCTTCACGAACAAACTCCAAGACATCAGCAGCTGCTGCTTCATTACTGTCACTGAGAAATTCCATTAACTAAATGGGGAAAAAAAGAGGCAGGGGAATAAGATTAGCAATTATATGATTTTCAGGAAGAAAATGATCTAATACAAGAAGTAAATTAAGATCCAGGAACAGTGATGCACACCTATAATCCCAGATTTAGGAGGCTGAGACAGGAGGATTCCAAGTTTGAGGCTAGTGAGACTAGCAACTTAGTGAGACTCCATTTCAAAATAAAAAATAAAAAAGGACTGGGATATAGCTCAATGGTAAAGCACCCCTGGTTTCAATCCCTAGTACCCTCCCCTCAAAAAAAAAAAAAAAAAATTAAGAAATTTCAAAAGAATGTAACTTTTAAAATACAAAACAAAATGTAAGTAGAGAGACAAGTACTATTATGAAAAAAAATCACAATGGTTTCTCTATATGCACTTAAATTTATTATAAAAATCACTATAAAAAGAGAATTTAGAAATCAAGTCAAGGTAGGCTTGGTATCACACATTTATAATCCAAGCTACTCAGCTGAGGCAGGAAACTTACAAGTTCAAAGCTAGCCTCAGCAACTGAATCAGACTATCTCAAAATAAAATGAAAAGTTGAGGATGGTAAAGCACTTGCCTAGCATGTGAGATCCTGGGTTCAAACCTCAGTACCACCAAAAAACAAACAAGTAAACAAAACAACAACAAAAGAACCCACTACAAATCCCATTAGATAATCCTAAATTATAAGAAAAATCATTTTAGAGAAAATGTAAAACTCAGAGGCAAATCTTCAACTATACTAACCTACCTCAAAATATTCTAGTTCTGTAAATTTTTCCTATAACTGATTTTTTCAACTTTCAGAGATAAAACTTGTGGTGGTGAATGCAAAAGGGGGCTAAGGAAGAAGGACTGCAAGTTTGAGGCTGATCTTGGCAACTTAGCAAGACCCATAAAAAGGACTGGGGTTTTACTTTGAAATTTTGTGGTTCTGGAAAGTTGACATTTAAGATTAACTGATGAATAATTAAAAATTTTAAAAAAATTCCTTCTAGAGAATTTAAAAATTAAGGTCATCAGAATTACATACCACAGGAATAACATTTGCAGCCATATCTGGAAATCGGACAGAGCAGGAATGCAATGTTCGTACAAGGAGCTGTCTGTATTTGTCAGTGTCTTCATGCTCAGAAACATTATTTGTTTTAATCACTTCCTTCTTCAAGACAATAACCAACTACGGACAAAGTAGAAATAAGTAAGAATTACATCGTGTTTGGCCTGACCACTTACAAAGTGGCATCTTTTTTTTTTTTTTTTACCTCTTCAACATTCCTAGAAGAAACAAGATCCAACGCTAACTGCAGAGTTTTCTTGCGTACTTCCAAGTCTGGTGTGCTCAATACTCTTAGGATGTCCATTACCAGATCCTAAAAGAGCAAACAATCAAGAATTAACACCAATTTTTCTGGTCCACAAGAAGAAAAGCTTAACTGCAGAATGGTTCTATCATCAACTTAATTCTTTGATTAATAATAAATTTACTAGTGGTAAAAGAACTAGACATTTTGAGTCTTCTGATGTAATGTAATAGAACTAATATCACAGATGTTGCTTTCAAACTGACAAAGTTTACTCTATCAAACTTTACATCTAATTTACAGTTTTTAGGAAACAGGGAGTCAGAGGAACAAGTTAAACGACACCACAAGAATAACCAGCCAGATTCAGGAAGGGCATTTTACAGGAAGGAGAATTGGTCTTGTCACTTCAACAAATTAGTATCAAGCAAAAAGATACTGTTCAAAATTAAGAGACTGAAAGGACATAATAACCAGAATAATATATCATTATGAACTGGACAAATTAAATAAAAAGGGCACTTTGGGGACAACTATAAAAATCTGAATCAATACTTAGTATTAAATAGTATTAAGAAACTATTAACTGTGTTAAGTGTGATATTACTAACTTGGCTCTGTAGGAAAATGTAATATTTAAAAGATGCATACTTCAAAAAAACTATGATAAATATTTTAAATAGCACAAATCTAATTTACAAATGATTTTACTTCTTTAAAGCTGTATGTTTAAAAATTTTTTCAAGATGTTAAAAAAGTTTCAAAAATTCCTTTTTTTTTTTTAAACTTAAAATGTAATACTGGTTTTCTTATATTATAAGAAAGATAAGTGCAATGGTAAAGCACTTGCCTAGCATGTGAGATCCTGGGTGGAGTATATAAGGCAGAGTGAGAAAGCTGCCCCTACTCCCAGCCACACAACCATCAAGATTCCTCACACATGCACTTAGAGGAGGCCAGCTGGCTTTGCCACAACGTGCAGGGGATGGACTGCTTTGGTCACTTCTAGTTTTTGAGCTGGTTGGAGAGCCAGTCCAAATCTTTGTAAAGCCTATCTATGCTGATAGCACAAGTAACCTGAATGTGTTTCTCTGGTGAAGGGAATGTAAGCCAAGCTTGTCTATTATATCTGCTATATTCACAGCACTGGGAAGATTCTGTTTATTTACAAACACTAACAAACTATCTCTGAATTCATCTTCACTAACATTCTAGTTAGTTTTTCCTTGGTCTCACTGACTCTTTCTCTGTCATTACCAAAATCACAAAAATCAGACCTTGAATGTTCTTGAAATAATGTTGCCACAAAGGTCTGATTTTGTCCTGACCACCAACATCCCAGACTGTGAAGCTGTTATTTCCATATTCTACTACCTTCACATTGAAACCTATTGTAGGAAGGGTGGTCACAATCTCTTCTAGTTTCAATTTATAAAAGATGATGGTCTTTCCAGCTGCATCCAAACCCACCATAAGAATCTGCATCTCTTTTTTCCCAAATACTTTTGTTGTTTTGGTACTGGGGATTGAACTCAGGGACACTCGACCACTGAGCCACATCCCCAGCCCTGTTTTGTGTTTTATTTAGAGTCAGGGTCTCACTAAGTTGCTTAGTGCCTCACTGTTGCTGAGGTTGGCTTTGAACTCACAATCCTCCTGTCTTAGCCTCTCGAGCTCCTGGGATTACAGGCGTGAGCCACAGTGCCTGGCTCCCAAATAGATTTTTAAACAGCTCTTCGAAAAATGCTGCTTATGGTGCTGGGGCTGGGGCTGAGCGGTAGTGCACTTGCCTGGCACGTGTGAGGCACTGAGTTTGGTTCTCAGCACCGCATATAAATAAATAAAAAATAAAGATCTATCAACAACTTAAAAAAATGCTGTCCATTATAATTTAATTCTATAATCTGTTGCCACTATAAGCATCACTACAAGACCACTAGGGATCTGACTACCTTTAGGATTTTCTCCTGAATTCTTATATTTCCTCTCCTAGGATTTCAGTGTACATCTCCTAAGAGTACAGGATAATTTCTTTAGTTTTTGGTGGTGCTAGGGATTGAACCCAAGGCTTCACATATTACAGGCAACCATCTACCACTGAGTTAAATACTCACTCCTGGATAATTTCTTATATAAACATAAATACCACATTCAGAGAATTTAACGCTTATTCAGACTCTTAACTAAAATACAGTCTATATTCACATTTCTCAAACTCTTCCAATAATATCCTTTATGGCAATTTTTCATTCTTCTTGTTCTGATCAAACATCAGCAATGCATTTAGTGAGCCTTTATTTTAGAAATTTTGATGGCAAAGACAATAACCTAGAAGGTTATATGGCGATTTGAGAATTTCACTTTATTTGAACAAACTTAAATTGCCCAGTCTTCAAAGTTTTAAGTAAACTAAGACACTAAGGGTAGGGAATGATTAAAATTTGAAAAATAGCATATTTAGAATTTCTCTCTTTGAGACAGTGTTTACCTGAAGGACTCGTTCATGAGCAGGATGCTCTTTTAATTCTACTAATCGATCCAGAACTATGAGCTTTACATTGTTGTCACTCTCTTTAATAATTAAATCAATGTAACACTGAGCAGCAGCCTATACAAAAAAAAAAAAGAAATACATTTTAAGAAATCATAGAATCTGAAAAACCCCTAAGAAGCCAAAATACACGCATTAACCCCTGCACAAGTTTATTATGCATTTTGTTCGAAGGCATGTGGACTGAAAGGGGCTGCTACAGGCAGAAATACTTAAATTTAAATTTAAGTACTTAAATTTAAGTAGTGACTAAACCCAGTAATGCACTATAACACTGAATTACATCCCCAGTCCTTTTTATTTTTAATTCTGAGACAGGGTCTGTTCAGTTGCCTAGGCTTGGCCTCAAACTTGTGATCCTCCTGCATCAGCCTCTTGAGTGGTTAGGCACATAAGTGTGCACCATCAGGGCAGGCTCAGAAATACTTTTTTAGTACTTTTAACATCCCAAAAATTAAGGGTGGAAACTAAGAAAAAAAGCAGAGAATCCCAAGAAGTATAGCTGTTAAGCAAATTTCACTTTATAATACAATAAAAAAAAAACAAACAAACAGGAATTTAAATATCAGTGTGAGTCATTAAAATAATTTAGTATATAAGATTAATAATCCTTTATATGTATATGACAGCAGGAAAAAAGAAGATTGAATTCTGTAAAAAGGCAAATAATTTTATAAATTTGTATTTGTTTTCTTTGCCATGTAAACACACAGTGAATTGCAATGTTACTAAGTCATGAGTAATAAGACAGCATATCTATCATCTAATCTGGCCCCAAAGAAATAAGCAGTACCTTGATTGCAGTTGGTGCACTTGACAGTGTTACTAATGTCCCAGCAGCTTCATATTTTACAGCAGGGCTAGATGACTGTAATAAGTTATAAATGCAACGAATGAAACGAGCCCTTTCTGATGGATTAGCATGACAGACCTGGAAAAGAAAACATACTTGTGATGTACCTATTTTAGCCTCCCAAGTCACTGAGATTACAGCATATGCCACCATGCCCAGCGAAAATATAAAATATTCTTACGAGGACATAAAGAAATGTTGGCTAACATGGAGTGAGATAATATGACACAACATGGGTAATTTCAGAAAGAATTTTATTTTATTTTTTTATTGGTTGTTCAAAACATTACAAAGCTCTTGACATATCATATTTCATACATTAGATTCAAGTGGGTTATGAACTCCCATTTTTACCCCAAATACAGATTGCAGAATCACATCGGTTACACAGCCACATTTTTACATAATGCCATATTAGTAACTGTTATATTCTGCTACCTTTCCTATCCTCTACTAGAAAGAATTTTATTTTGAATATCTATTACAACTACTCATTCTTTTATTCATTCTTCCATAATTTATATTTTCTGTTCTCATTTCAACAATACTCATGGCAACTTTACCAGGAGTACATTCTATCTGAAGAAAACTTTCTTTGCTCATTCATATGAAGCAACTCTTCTTCCATTAATGTTTTAGCATGAGACTTTAGTAATTCAACAACGTTTTCAGGCCCTACTTCTAATTCTAGTTTTCTTATTTCCTTCACATCTGCCATTACTTCCTCCACTAAGTCTTAATCCCTTAAAGTCATCCTTAAAGGTTGGATCAACTTCTTCCAAAATCCTATTAATGTTGTTTATTTTGACCTCCAACCATGCATCATGAGTTTCTTTTTTTTTTTTTTTTTTTGAGGCGGGGCACCAAGGATTGAACTCAGGGGCACTCAACCACTGAGCCACATCCCCAGCTCTAGATCCATCAGAAGAATCACTATCTATGGTAACTACAGTTATAGTATGATGAAATGTTTTCTTAAAGACTAAATCTTGAAATAATAAAAGTTAAATATGCCTTGATCCAAAGGCTGCAAAATGGATGTTGTGTTGGAAGGCATGAAAACATTAATCTCACTGTACATTCCCATTCAAGGTATTGAGGACTGATGCACTGTCAATAAAAAGCGATATTTTGATAGTAATCTTTTTTTCTGAGGACTAGTCTTAAAATATTCAGTGAAACATATTGTAAACAGATGTATTTGCTATTTCATTTTTAGAGCACAGGTAGAGCAGTATAATTTAGTATAATTCTCAAGGGCCCTAGGATTTTCAGAATAGTACATGGGCACTGGCTTCAACTTAAAAAAAGTCACCAGCTGTATTAGCCTCTAACAAGAGAGTCAGTCTGACCTCTCAAGCCAGGCATTGACTCCACCTCTTTAATATGAAAGTCCTAAATGATATCTTCTTCCAAAAATCAGGCTATTTCATCTACACAGAAAATTAGTTGTTTAGTTAAGCTACCTTCATCAATTATCTTAATTAGCTTTTCTGCTAAATTTCTGTGTAACTTGCTGCAATTCTTTATCAGTACTTGCTGCTTCACCTTGTACTTCTATATTATGGAAACAGTCTCTTTCCTTAAACCTTAAAAAGCAACTTTTGCTAGTTTCAAGTTTCTTCTGAAGCTTCCTTACCTCTCTCAACCTTTACAGAATTGCAGTTACGAGGACCTTGCTCTGGATTAGGCCAGGCTTTACTCTTTTTATAACAATCCTTGTGGGAGAATTAATTCAATGTGCTGTTAGAATTACCTTAGTTCTTTCTGAATGTCCCCAGTAACCTCCTACTAAGCTCTCTCTCTTAAAGTTACCACCACCTTTATAGAATGAGTCTTCTCTAATATGTGAACTTTTGGGGACACACTCAAACTACATCCAAACCATAGTACTAAGCTTAATCATTTCTTGCTTTTGATTTACAGTGAGAGATGTCTCTCCTTCCTGCACATGAAAACTTAGAGGCCACTATAGGATTATTAACTGGCCTAATTTCAATATCATTATCTCAGTTAGGGAGATCCAAGAAGAGGGAAAGAGGTGGCAGAAGGGCTGGTTGGTGAAGCACTCAAAACACACCTAACATTTATCAGTTAAGTCTTCAGTCTTATATGGGTGTGGTTCAGTGCACCCCAAAATAATTATAATAGTAATATCAAATATCTCAGATCACTACAATAGATATAATGAAAAAGTATGAAATATTACAAGAATTACCAAAATGTGACAGATATAGAATACATATTGTTGGAAAAATAATGTTGATAGTCTTGTTCAACACAGGGTTGCCATAAAACCTTAAATGACAAAAAAACACAATATCTGCAAAATACAATAAAAGAGGTATGCCTGCATTTAAAGTTTCTCTACTCTCTTTCATAAACAAGGAGCATAAAAAGCCCTTATGGCTTTTTTTTTAGAGGAGGGGGAGTCTTTTTAGATATCCAAAGTAATCTGGTATTTATTCAAGAAAAATCTTGAATTTTATTTCAAAGCTATTCAGTGGTTGGATCATACACAATAATTTCTTCTCAACTTTACTGACTCAACCCATAAATTTTTATAGAATCCCTTATAGAAGTATAGAAAGGATGGATGCACATACTTGAAAAATACAATAAGCCAACAGAAAAAGAAAAAAAATATATATATGGGTATACTGTACATAGTTATTATTACAACATAATCTCCTAGCAATTAATAGTGTCCAGAAAGAAGCTATTTAGTCTTGACTTAAACTGTTGAGTTTATTTACCCATCACAAACTATAATTCTTACCTTATAAATTAGCTCAACAATAACCAATTGTAGAATGTCTCCAAATGTTTGAACTTGATCAATACAAGTACTTAGGTAATCCAAAGCTCGATCCTAAAGAAATAAAGAATGTATTTATTATACTCTACCTCATTTGATAAAATTATTTGATGGAACTTTTTAAAATACACATATTATGCTTAAATATAAAACAGATGAAGAAATCAGAGCATAGAGAAATTAATTTGAAAAATAAAATGAAAAACCAAGTAAGAAGTTAACACTTAGGACTGGGGTTGTGGCTCAGTGGTAGGGTGCCTGGCTAGCATGTGTGAGGAACTGGGTTTGATCTTTACCACCACATAAAAATAAATAAAACAAAGGTATTGTGTCCATCATCAACAACAACAACAACAACAAAGAAGTTAACATAAAATACAAGACAGAAAGTCAAATACATTTTTGTAGGCCACAAATCTAGGGTCTGAATTTTTTAGCAGCTAAACGAAGAAAAATGCTGCTCATTATCTGATTCAGTGTATTTATGCAATCAAAACAAACTAGCTACTTACGAACATAGTTATTCTTATTACTGAGACCTAAAATAAAAATTTCATGTGGATCCTCATATATATATAATGTGATTTGGGGAAACTAGGTCCTTGACAATATCTCTCCAGTAAAAATACCAATGAATTTAATTGATTACATCCCTTATAATGTACGTACATAAACATTATAATATAAAAAGTACAGATTAGTTAAACCAATTCTATAAGAAAACAAAATATTATGGTTCATATAAGTGGCTTTCTCAAAATTTTGTTTAGGAAGATAAAATGATAGTATCTAATATCACCACATACCTATTAGGATGGCTTCTACCAAACAAATGAAAATAACTAGGGTCGGCAAAGACATGGAGAAACTGGAACCATTTTGTACTGCTAGTGGGGATGTAAAATGGTACAACGGACATGAAAAACATTATGGTTGTTCCTCAAATAATTAAAAGAATTGTTATATAATCTAGCAATTTCACTTCTGAATATAAACTCATAATAAAAACATCAAATGTTCATTGATGGATGAGTAAATAAAATGTGTATATATTTAGAGTGGAATATTATTTAGCCTTAAAAGGAAGGATATTCTGACACATGCTACAACATGGATGAACTTCAAAGCATTATGTTAAGTGAAATAAGTCAGTCACAAAAAGGCACATGCTAAATGATTCCATTTATATGAAGTACTTAGAATAGTAAAAATTATAGAGACAAAAAGGATGGTGATTATTAGGGGCAGGGAGAAATGGGAATAGAAGTTATCATTTAATGGGTCAGTTTCACAACATGAAAAAAGTTGAGGAGATGGAATGGTGATGATGGTTGTGCAGCATCATGAATATATTTAATATCATTAAACTGAACACTTAAAAATGGTCAAGATGGTAAATTTTATAATGTATTTCATCACAATAAAAATAACTGGGAAAAAATAAAGGAAGACCTAGGGGGAAAATGACAGTATACAGATTTCAGAGGAAATGGACAGACTATATTTTTCAGTCTTCATGTGTATTATTTCCCACATTTTGATAACCAGTACTGGATATCAAAATGTCCAAATTATATGCCACCAAGGTATGCAGAATCACTGCTAACCAAATGCAGATCCATATACTTTAACCACTAGCAGAGCTGGATATGGAATTGGTATACTCTTATCAAATAGTAGACCACCCTACTTCCACCGACATGGCCAAGGGTGGACCTATACTAGCTATGACTATTTCTCTTTAAACATTTTTAGATTATAATAACATAAAGAAAAATAGGCAGCCAAGTTCTAGAATAGTGTGCCATAAAATATAGCCTTAACAACTTCAATCTGGAAAAATCTATTAAGTGGGGATTGATGGCATAACTCAAACATAGAATACATGTTAAACTGTGCAAGGTTGTGAGTTCAATGACCATAACCTAAAACTGTAAAGTGGATATATTATTACTTTCTAAAAAAAAAGAATATAAATCAGGGACAGTGGTGCATGCTTGTAATCCTAGTTACTTGGAAAGCTGAGGAAGGAGGATTCCAAGTTTGAGTCCTGCCTGTGCAACTTAACAAGACCATTAGTAACTTAGTGAGACCCTGTCTCAAAAAAATTAAAAGAGCTGAGGATACAGCTCAGTTGGTAGATCATCCCTAGGTTCAATCCCTAGTATTGCAAAAAAAGAAAAAATAATAATATATACAGTACATAAGTAGTATTTTAGAGAAGGGTTAAGAAAAAAAAATTATATAAATTAAATCAAAAATCTAAAAAAATCAAAATACTCAAATCTCAAGTAATAGAAACAAAATTACTAAATGAAAACATGATCAGACTTATATAACTTTTATTCTCATTTAAATACAGTCATAAAATAATTTTTTAAAAAAATACTCACCTGATCTGCATGAATCAGCATCATAAATGCATTCCTTTTGCAACTTGCATCCTTCTCATTTACCAGAAAATCATGTATCAGCTCAGGAGCATCAGGAATAAGATGTTCAAAATTTCTTTAAGAAAAACAGTAACATATTTAATAAAAACATACTCTACTAACTTAACAGCTTTCTGGATCATACCAAAATTAAAATTAAACTTTATAGCACTACTGTTTCTTCAACTTTCTCAAAGTTTAAATCAATTAGAATTGGGGGAAGAAATCAAAAGGTCATACCTTCATCTATGAAGTTATCAAATTTTGTTTTCTAGTTCAATGTAGAAAGAATGGATTTATTCAATATATATTTTATTAATTGATGTCTCTAATAATTAACTTTCATATACTTCAGGAATATATATTAAGATAAAGTTAAAATCTTTCCTTAATAAAAGAACAATCCTTCATTAAGAATGACTAGAGGGCTGGGGTTGTGGCTCAGTAGTAGAGCACTTGCCTGGCACATGCAAGGCCCTGGGTTTGATCCTCAGTACCACATAAAAATAAATAAATAAAATAAAGGTATTGTGTCCAACTACAACTAAAAAATAAATATTAAAAAAAATTACTAGTGAAAAAAATATTATCTGGAATTTTATTGGCTATATACTGTATTTACTTATTTACTAATTTGCCTCCTATTTTAGAAGTATTATAGTCACACAGAATGATAAACACTAGATTAACAAAAATGCCACCTAGTTTCAACAATTAATTTTCAGCCAGTTTTATTTTACCTATCCCCCTGTCTACCTCTCCCTTCTGTTATTCTGAAGCAAATCCCAACTTATTTATTTTTTTCTGTAAATACATTGGTATGTTTCTCTAAAATTTAAAGATGATTATTATTCTACTGTCATAAAAATCATGAATTCCTTAATACCATTATATAGCCAGTCATTGTTCAAATTTCCAATATTGCCTTATAAATGTCATCATTTTTTTGTGCCCTATAATTTAAATCCTGAACTTTGTATGGTTTGTATGTTCACATTCTAAGAATTAAATTATATTATTAATCAGAATACCACTTTCTTTAACAGATAAAATCTACTACAATATTATGGTAACTGTGAAATTATGTCTCAATCAAGTAAGATATCAAAAGTACAAAGATGTTTATAAAATTATATTCTAATTCTAAATAAAGTGACACCAGTTGATTATAAAAACCAAGTATTGCAGCTTTATCCAACTACCTCTTTCAATTGTTTCTTAAAAAAAAAAAAAAAAGTCCAATATCTTTAGCTTTCTAACAATAGGAATCAGTTAAGAACTGCAGCCCTTCTCATTAAAAAAGTTCACTCATCAAAGCCTCTAAGGATAAAAGATAAGACCCACAGTCACAAAAAGAGAATTCTAAAACAAGGTTAAAAACTCAAGCTGGGCTCAGAAGCAAGCTGGAGGCCAGCTTTGGAAACTTAGTGAGACCCTGTCTCAAAATGAAGTTAAAAAAAGGGGGATAGTGGTGGCTGAAGAGGTAGCTGAGTGGTAGAGTACTTGCCTAGCATACATGAAGTTCTAGGTTTGACCCTCAGTCACAGGTAGGTGATGGTGGTGAACAAGTTACAGCTCAAAATCTTTAGGGGATAATCAAATACATATTTCCGTCAAAAGTGAACCGAAGTAATACAATTGAGAATGAGAGGCACTGCCTTAAATTGGAAAGTGTGTAAATTTTTTTGTTTTGTTTTGTTTTTTTGGTGGTGCTAGGGATTGAACCCAGGGCCTTGTGCATTCGAGACAAGCACTCTACCAACTGAGCTATATCCCTTAACCCTAAAGTATATACATTTGTTTTACTTTATTTTTTTAATTTTTTGGTTGTGCTGGGGAATGAACTTGGGGCCTCCTTCATATTAGGCAAGTGCTCCACCACTGGGCTACACTATAATCTTTTTAAAGGGGGGGCCAGTGTCATTCAATTTCAGCAGATTATTGTCAGGGAGAAACTAGGGCCAAGTGTGGCCACCTTCTTTTTGACTTTCCAATGCTGAACTTAATAAAAAAAATATATTTTGCTGGTCAATGCAAAAGTTACATATAACCTATAAGCAAACACTTAAAAACCTCCAGTATGAAAAACTAAAAGGCTGTCCAGAACTAAGCCAAAGTAGTATCTTTATTTACCTATAGATAGTATAGATGGCCAAAACAGCATTCCTTCTAACATAGCTATGTCGATGTTCCAAACAAGCACGGATAGCTGGCATTAAAGGTTCTAGCAATTCTGCTTCCTTCAGTTTGCAAAGAAAACGTAGAGTAGATCCTCGAATAAACTCATTAGGATGCTGAAGATCCTGGTATAAAAATTTTAGAAAATGAAATGCTGAGTTTCAGCTTTTTTACAAACATTAATTTTAAATGTAAAATTTTTCAACAGAAAAAGTCGAAGTTAGTTTAAGAGTCCTAGCTTATCAGACAATTTCTATCAGATTTCTTTTGATAAGAGCAATTTTTACATATATATACACTTTAAATTAACAATACACACATAAAATGCATAGAAAACATCTAAAAAAGTAACAATAGAACTTTTGGTAACACTTCATAATTTCAATTCCAAACATTACAACTGACATCAAAGATTTAATTTTAAAAATCAATGAGGCCCATTCCACTAATTTTACAATTATTTAAAATCAAAGCAATATTCAGAAATACTTATGGTTTGGTTTACCTTTCTGTATGCATCACATACGAGAATCATTTCATGCAAAAGTCTCCCATCTGGAGTTGTTTTAGGAACAATTTCCCAAAATACCAGAAGTAATTTTTTGATGGTGTGATCCTGAAGAGGCAGCACAAAACGAATGATGGTCATCAGAAGTCCAGGAAGCTTTTCACCATTAAGAATCATGATGATTACTTTCTTTAGAGCTTCAGTCTTTGACTTCACATCTCCTTTTTCTGAGTCATTTAAAAAAAAAAAAAAAAAGCACAATTATTTCAAAAGAAAATTCCTTGAGTAATTTTTTTTTGGTACCAGCGATTGAACCCAGTTTATTTGAGGATCCCCAGCCCTTATTTTTAATTTTGAGACAAGGTCTCACAAAGTTGCTTAGGGCCTAAGTTGCTGAGGCTGGTTTTGAATTTGTAATCCTCCTGCCTCAGCCTCCAGAGTCACTGGGATATCAGGCATGCACCACTGTGCCAGGTTTTCTAATTTTAAAAACAAATTAACAAAATAAATATACTTTATTAGCTGCAATAGTAATAAAGGCACAAATCCAACTGACAAGGTTTCTTTACTTAGCTGTATCACAAACAAGCTGTGTACTTTTTCTTTTTTTGGGTGGGGGGAGTATCAGGGATTGAACTCAGGGGTACAGTACCACTGAGCCACATTCCAACCCTGTTTTGTATTTTATTTTAAGACAGGGTCTCACTGAGTGCTTAGCACCTCGCATTTGCTGAGGCTGGGTTTGAACTTCTGATCTTCCTGCCTCAGCCTTCTAAGCCGCTGGGATTAAAGGGGTATGACACTGCACCCGGCCAAACTGGGTACTTTTGCACAATTAATTTATCTTTGAATTGTGGATTCTTTACATATATCATGAAGATATTATATGATGATAATATCTAATCCAGTGATTAGATTTCTAGTCCCTAATCAACTGAGTTAATGTAAGAGTTCATGAATCTTCTTGGCTACTTGGTGTATTTCAAACATCCATGTAACTATTTTTCAATATATAAACAGATATTGTTAGGATATATGCTTCAGAATTCAAAGCAGCTCATTTTGTGTGCATTTTCTCAAAGTTACAGACACTACTATGGGAAGTGGAGTGAATATGGTGATCTGTTTAAAAATATTAGGAGGAGAGTTCTTGAATATTCAAAATTAAGTCTGAGAACTAACAGAGTAAATAATTCCACTCCTATCATATTTCTACAGATGACACAATTTTAGACTCTTAAGATAGCATCTGAAAAACTAGAAGAGAATTAGAATGTCCCATTTAGTAGCCACTGTTTAGAAATAAGGATGACATTTTGGATAAAATACATTTACTGTACTTAGGCTAAAAACTGTGGAATATAAAATATTCTATACAAAACAATCTATAATTTCACATCATTACCATTGCATGCTAAAAATTTTATAGTACTAAAAATCTTTTCGATTCAAAATTCAAAGGCAGAAATATAAGACATACACATTGCTACTAGTATACTGTACTTTTTTGGGGGTGGGGACTGAATCCAGGGCCTTATACATGGTAGGCAAGCACTCTACCACTGAGCTACATTCCCAGTCCTATACTTGTCTAGATCATAAAAAAATAAATAAATATATGGGAGAGGAGAAGATGAAGATTGTCCAGTGAAACATCAATACGCCTAAAGCTATCATGAGGAAAATAATTAGAAGAAACTAGTAGAGCTGGGTGCAGTGGCACATGCCTGTAAGCCCAGGAGCTTGGGAAGCTAAGGCAGGAGGAGCAAGAGTTTAAAAGTAGCCTCAGCAACTCAGTGAGGTCCTACTCTCTGGGAAAAAAAAATAAAAAATAGGGCTGGGGATGTGGTTCAGTGGTTAAATGCCCCTGGGTTCAATCCCCAGTACCAAAGAATAAAAAGAAAAAAAAAAAAAAGAAGAAAAGAAGAAATTGGTGGAAATTAGTGGGAAGCAGATTTGGGCCTAAATATGAGATAGAAATCTATTCCCTTTCTTTCTTTATTTTGTTGTACTAGGGACTGAACCCAGGGGTGCTCTATTTGTGAGTTCCATCTCCCCAGTTTTGCTAACTTGCTGAGGGTGGCCTTGAATTTGCAGTTCTTCTGCCTTAGCCTCCAGAGTTGCTTGTATTATAGGCATGTACCACCATGCCTGGTGAGAAATTTCTAACAACTAGAGCTAAGTGGCTATTAAATAAAGAGTTCCTATTGCCAAAGGGGCAGAAACTATACATGACCACTTGATGGGTTACAGGAAGGAAGTAAACTCCAGAAGAAATTAACTAGGTGAACCAAAGACTTTCTAAGCTCTTAAAGGCTATTTAAAATTATTGCCAGTTCATATGATATTTTCACAAATTAAGAATAGAGAATACTGTCAGGTATTTGGATTAATTAGGCAAAGTTCAAGTGGCTAAAGCTGTGTTCACTGGGTGTAAGCAGTTTTTTTCCTCTTTGTTCCAAACATCCTGATTTAAAATTTTTTTTTTCCATATCCTGTTTCATAACATTAAGGATACAAAATCCAAAAGCCATAAAACTATATTGCTATATCTTTTTAAAAATATCTTTTTAGTTGTAGATAGACACATCTATTTTATTCATTTATTTTTATGTGGTGCCAAGGATCAAACCTAGTGCCTTACATGTGCTAAGCAAGCCCTCTACTACTGAGCTACAACCCCAGCCCCTTGTTATAATCTTCATGGCTTATTATGCTCCAGTGTTTTTATTCTTCACAAATTAGAAAATTTCTAAATATAATTTAGTAGGCTAAATTCAACTTGTAACAATACTTCAAAAAAATTTTAAAATAAGTTTAACAGTAAACTTGTAAAAAAAATCTGTGCCATTTACATTTTAAGAAACTCCACTCCAATTTTCATTTATTTCAATAATCCAAGTTAAGATGAAACAAGGAGGGCTGGGATTGTGACTCAGCGGTAGACCACTCGCCTAGCACGTGCAAGGCCCTGGGTTCGATCCTCAGTACCATATAAAAATAAACATATTGTGTTCAACTACAACTAAAAAATAAATATTAAAAAAAGATAAAACAAGGATATGGGCTGGGGATGTGGCTCAAGCGGTAGCGCACTCGCCTGGCATGTGTGCGGCCTGGGTTTGATCCTCTGCACCACATACAAACAAAGATGTTGTGTCCGCCGAAAACTAAAAAATAAATTTTAAAATTCTCTCTCTCTCTCCTCTCTCTCTTTAAAAAAAAAACAAAAACAAGGATATGTTTCATTCCATATCTTCATAATTTTTAGAACTTTTCCTCTCTATAAACAGTATAAAACATATGCAAAATTTCACCTATCAATTCAATTCACAATAATAGACTAAACGCTTCCTAATCTGGGGAATATATAGTCCTCAGAGTTCAGATTCAGTAATTAAAAGTTAAAAAAAAAAAAAAAGTAAATTGTGGAAGTAACACAGTATTTAGCCAAACAAAAAAGTTGTTACTCAAAATTAGAAACTAGTTATTTTTTCTCTTAACTTTTCTTAAAGGCAAAAATATACAAAGAATTGGACACTATTTATTCATTGTTAGAGGGCAGTTAAGGCAACTGTAATTAAGACAAGTGTAATGTTCCAATTATGACAGAGTTAGTTAGTTCTGTACCTTCCAACTATAGTTATAAGCATTTTAGGGATCTAATAATAAAAATCATTTATTATGAAAAAAATAGTAATAAGAGTATACTTATTAATTTGTATTCCATTCAATTATCTTATGTGAATATGGGGGAAAAGGGGTGAAGGGTGAAATATACATGGCTTTTGTTCTAATAATTTCAATTAAATGCCATAAAAGAGGGTTTCTTTTCCCTTCTCTAAAAATAAATCTTTTCAGGCAGAGGTATATAGCTCAGTATCTGTATGGCATGCAAGAGGGTTGGATCACAGTACTAACAAAAAATAAAAAGTAAAACTAGATTTCAACAGGCATCTAATATTAAGTAATGTAAGATTAGGAGGTATTCCATTTATGCTAATTAAGAGGTGGGAACAGGCAAGCAAAACACCGTCTCATTATAAATGGCTTCTAAAAGATATTTACAATGTAAGAATAATTTTCACTCAACTGTATTTAAAACTATCAGTTCAACTTATATTTTTTCTTAGTTCAATTAAATAAGAAGCATTACTTTGGAAGTGTATCACTTAAAAAAAAAAGGGTGTGTGTGTGGCTACTCAGTGGTAGAGTGCTTGTCTAACATGTGTAAGGCCCTGAATTTTATCCCCAGCACTGTGGGGAAATTTTTTTTTCCTTGACAGAATCACTTACATAAGTATGCACTTTTAAAGTAGTTACAGTATACAATTTTTAAATTCAGAAATACAGTTCTTATTTTCTTCTTGCAAAAATGTTTTCAAGGGCTGGGTTTGTGGCTCAGTGGTAGAGTGTTCGCCTAGCATGCATGAGGCACTGGGTTCGATCCTCAGCAACATATAAATGTAAAATAAAGATACTGTGTCCACCTAAAACTTAAGAATAAATATTTTTTAAAAAATGCTTTCAAAATGAAAAGCTTAAACTTTCAGGGAAAATACATGTTTATGCCACTGTTGACTTCACTGGTTGGGAGAGAAACCCAAAGAACAAAGTTCTTTTGATTTTATAAGCTAAGTAAGTATATGAAGTTAACTGAACAAAGTGACATTCCACCACATATTCTCAATCTGCTACCTAAGGAGAATTGTCAGCTATCTTTAAGTATAATACATTAAAATGCACAAGCAATTACTTGATTTTGAAGAATATCTAACAATTGAACTATTATATATGTATATGTGTATATGTGTGTGTGTGTGTGTATGTGTGTGTGTATATATATATATATATATATATATATATATATATATATATATATTTTAAAGATGACTACATTTCTTTAGCTTTCATAAGCTAAACTGAGATGTTATTCTATTTCCATAAACCAATACTGGAAGTCTAAAGGTAGCAAGTTTTCAATTTCATAAGAACTATTGAAGACATTATAGAAAAGGTATTTAGATAAAAATTAAGCATTTCTAATTATAAAGGAAAATGAAATGTAAATGAGCTTTTCTTTTTCATTTCATTCTCAAAATATTATCAGTGTTTACAAAGTTGAGAGTAGAAAGTTGGTTCCCAGAGGCTGGGAAAAGTGGATCAGTGGGTAATACCTTACAGTGGTAAGAAGTTCAGACATGTTATATTGCACAGCAGGGTGACAACTGTAGTCCATAAAATACTATATATTTTATTGATTGACTGCAGTGCTGGGGAGTGGCCCCCCTGCCTCCCTGTGCCACATCCACAACCCCCAGTCCTGGATTTTTTAAAAAGCTAGATGAAAGAATTTGAAATGTTTTCTTTCACCCTAAAGAAATGCTTAATATCTGAGATACACTTAACCTTATTTAAACATTACACAATGTTAACAGGTACTCCGTTAATGTGCAAATTTGTTTTTATCCGCTAAAATTCAAGTTTAACTTAAACTTTATGAAGTTTACCTAGGTCATTTTTTAAGCTAATTTCAGATGGTGGTTCTGAATCCATTGGCACGTTAATTAAAGTATAGCACACGTTCTCAGCAGCCGTCATGGTTTCTGGTTATAATCAACCCCCAATACAAGATTTAAGGAATGCAGATGCCAGAAAATCTAGAAAAACAAATATAGCGATATCATTAAAAAATTTAATCCCACAAATGAGTAACCGTTCTTTAATATAAAGTTCATTCAGTTCGGCCTATAAGTTTTAAAGTCTTATAAAGGGAGGGTCAATCTATATATATTGCGTTCCCATAAAAGTAAATTCTAATAAAAAACACACTTGTCAACCCCAGTTTAAGGTCTAAAATCTCACTCCCCCATACCTCTTCCCGGGCCCAGGGTTGGGAATGTTTTGTAAAACAGTGACAGTCCCCCACCTTTAACAGAACAGTGATTTCTCACAAAACTGCTCGAGTAAGAGGTCCCATGCACAAATACTCTGTCAAAACCTTGGAGCCCTTGGCCGCGGTCGGCAGTAGGTACCTCAAAGTCGGTACCCAGCGCCGCACCCCCACCTCGCCCCACCCACTGGCCCCTTCCCTTCCCTTCCCTTCCTCCAGCCAAGCAGGCCCGGACTTCACAGCGCGAGGCCGGGGGTCCAGCGAGAGAGAAGACCCCTGGCCTGCACGCAGGCCTGGACGGGGCGTCCGGCCCTGAGCTTTCAGGCCCACCCCCACCGTTCCCCTTTGCCAGGCCCCGACGCCAGCGGCCTAGTTGCTCCCGCTCCGCGTCTCCCCGCTAGAGAACCAGTTCTTCCGACTCTGCGCAGCCCATCACGCCTCCGAGGCTCGGGGCTTTTGGCCCACTACCTGGCTCCGAGGGGCAGCGGGACCGTATACCCCGGCTCCAAACAGAGGCAGCAGTAAAAGCTCCAGAGTCCTTGGCTGACGTGGAAAGGGGTGGGGAGACGTCCGTAGCCACAGCCACCTAGCTCTACGGCGACTCGGAGAGGACATGTCTTCTCGGTCCTGCCGTTGCGCGTTGCAAGCACGTCCGGTTTTTTCCTTCTCTCCCATCCATGGTTGGTATAGGCCGCAAAGAAGAGTGGAAATACGTATTTGTGAAAATTTTCCTGTAAGCCAACCGCTGACCTAAGTTCTGTAGTCATTTAATGGTTACGTGGAAATTATTCTTTTTCCAGGGACGCAAACCGTCAAAGGGAGGAAGGGCTTGAACAGAAGGCAAACAATTCTGCCCAGTTGTATCCGGTGCAGGAACCCAGGACTGGAACCTGGAGTCCCTTTTCTTGCTTTCCCACTGATAAATTGAGGAAGTAACTACTTACCATTGGGAAAGTAATTTCAGTTCTTTAAATAAAGCCACTGGATTACATCAAGACCCATTTCTGTTAACATCTCCAGTAGTCTGAATCTCCCTCTTTGCAATTTAACTGGAGCTGCTTGAATATCTAAAGTTGCATTGGTGTAATTTCGGCTATTTAGTAATGATTTCCTTTGTTATCCTTTATGAGTACCCAGTAAATTAAACTTTTAAAACATGAATAAAGGGAGACAGTCCCTCTTAAGGATTTTATCTATCTCCAAAAACTTGTTATAGCTACAGTTAGCACCTTAGGTTTTGCCCATTTGAGGTCCCAGAACTCACTTGCTGCTCCCCACCAGGAAAACAAACAAACAAAAAGGTCTGACAGAATCTGTGGCTATTAATAGGGCCACTTCACTTAGGGAGCTATAACACAAATAGAACTTCATCTACATAGAATCCAGTTATTTTGAGATTTTATTTTGAAACCATCGAACAAAATTCGAACTCCCAAAATTTATTTTAAAAGTCACATGCTTAGAACTTGAAGAAGGCCCTCCTCGGGTGCACTCACATATTTATATATGTATATAATTTTTTTAGCGGTGGACAAATCATTGTTTTTATTTATTTTTATGTGGTGCTGAGAATTGAAACCAGTGCTAGGCAAGTGCTTTACCACTGCGCCATAACCCCAGCCCCCTCTGCACTCATTTTTAAAAAGCTTTTATCAAGATAATTGAAGTGACATGAACATAGAGGTCCCATACACTGTTCATCTAGTTTCTCCCAATGGTAATAACTTGTGTATTTAAAGTACACTATAAAATCCATGAAACTAAAATACAATTCACCCATCCTTACTCAGATTTCACCAATGTCTAGCTCTAGACAGCTGATTTGTATAATCAACAGCACAGTCAAGATACAGAACTGGGGGTAGGGTTGTAGTTCAATGGAAGAGAGCTTGCCTAGCATGTGTGAGGTACTGGGTTTGATTCTCAGCACCACACAAGAATAAATGAAATAAAGGTATTGTGTCCATTTACATCTTTAAAAAGATACAGAATTGTTCCATTGCAAGGATCCCTAATGCCATCCTTTTCAAGTCATAGCACCTTCATCATTAGCCCTGGAAACCACTAATTTGTTTTATTGTCAATGATGTTGTGTAAATGGAATTAAACAATGTAGTCTTTCAAGATTGGCTTACTCAGCATAATTCCCCCAAGGCAATCCAAGATATGCCTTCAACAGTTTGTTTCTTTTGTATGTACTTTTCATGGAATCTTTACAAATGCAGTTATCTTATTTCCAAGCCTTATCAAAAAGTGAAATGTGTTAGCAAGAAATGAGGCCAAACAGGTATAAAGATTATACTTTAGGACCACATGGTATGGTCCTAAGTCTAATGGTTATATCCACTTGAGTTATCCCAGATGTTGTGTTAAAACTTCAGGGTTTATTATGACCCTGAGTTAAGGAAACTATTAAAACATGAAAAGAAGGCATTTTAGTTTGCCTCTGAGTGTCACTAGTAGTATCTAGTTATATATTTTTAAATGAAGAACTTCTGAAGAGCTGTAAAGACAATTTATGGCCTCACCAATTCTTCCCTACTGGTATAAAATGCAACTTTGGATCTTTTACTGTATCATGTAATTATATAATTCTGAATGCTTTAAAATTATAACTAATTTGAGTGTGAAGACCTTGCTATGTATTAAGAATCAAATACTTAAAAGTCTAGGAAATAAAGACCTAATGATGAGATTTGCCCTGAATCATGTAATTGTCAAATACTAAAAAGTAGGATTAGAACCCGAATCCTGTAATCTATGATTTGTGGCCTTTAACCATGCCAGTTCTTAAGAGCTATACATATAGATGCTTAATAAATTCTAGGTAAACTGTTATCTTTATATCAAAGTGACAGGACTTATAAGACATTAGGAATCTTATGGCTTGTCATTATATAACACATACTAAATGGAATAACTGAATACAATAGACCAGACAAAGCAAAAGGATATAATGATTAACTTTGTGATATAGTGGGGTAAGTTTTATTGGGGTGTGGAGAATTTTAAGTTCTAAAGTCAGCGTACTAGGCTAAAAAAATCACTTATTGAAAAAACTGATATTGTCCCCAAAGTAAAATAAAGACCACTGTTTTTTATTTTTTTTGCTGAGTTCCAGTCAACTATTAGTTGTTTGCATTTAAGGGGTAGGTCCAAAAAAAAAAAAGCATACACAGTATCTTTATATTTAAACAGAATCACTCAGCAGACAACTCACCCAATGAAAGGCACAGGGGGTAGAAGAAAGACTTTTCTAAGCAAGCTTATCAAACTGCCCACTTATGTTCCCTCCCCAGACTACACATGCATTGAGTGTGGAGGTAGGTGGTTAGCATCCCTCTGTTCACTATATTTATATATGAAAGTTACATGTACTTGATGCAACTCCATTGTAGTTCAGATAGCCACATGGTACTTGTGGCCTGTTACCAAACTTAAATAAGGCAGACAGAACTTTCAGGCTACTTCCAGAGCAGGAGTCCCTCACTCCTTACAGGTTCCAATGCTTAGAGATCTTTCCTTCAACAGAGTTGCCAGTTTCTTTTACCATTACTTTACCAAAAGAAGTCACAAAGAGATTTAAACTGATACTTTTTAAGTTTTGGGAAACCTAAAAAAAAAAAACAAACTAACATTTTCCATTTAGAAGGTATTATAAATTCTCTCATTTATTCTTTTTTTTTTTTTTTTTAAAGAGAGAGAGAGATTTTTTTTTAATATTTATTTTTTAGTTTTCGGTGGACACAATATCTTTGTTTGTATGTGGTGCTGAGGATCGAACACGGGCCACACGCATGCCAGGCGAGCGCACTACCGCTTGAGCCACATCACCAGCCCCCTCTCATTTATTCTTTTTTTCAAAATATTTATTTTAGTTTTAGGTGGACACAATATCTTCATTTTATTTTTATGTGGTGGTGAGGATCGAACCCAGTGCCTCACTCATGCTAGGCGAGCGCTCTACCACTGAGCCCCAGCCCCAGCCCTCATTTATTCTTAAAATAATTCTCCAATGGGTTTCCTTAGAATAGGGCTAAGTAACTTGCCCAAAGCCAATAGCAGCTAATTAGTAGAATTAGATTAAAAATTTTTGTTAGTATCCACAAATAAAACTTCTCTAAAAATATGTACTATCTCAGAAAATACACCTAGGCTTTTGAGCAGTGAAATTTTGGATTTTTTAAAATGATTTCCTAATTTAATTTTGTATGATCTAAGCTAAAAATTTCTGCAACATCTGAGTATATAACCCAGGGAATAGAAGGCAATATACAAATTATGCTGGAGTTGATTTGTGTAGGATTAGAGGTTTGAGATTATTTGCAAAAATTCCCAAGAAAGTCCAGAGCTCTAACTATTGCCATCTGCTGATTGGATAGAAAAACTGTTCAGACATTAATAATCTTGCTGCTTTTTTTTGTAAAATGTGCTAGAGATTAACCCAGGGCCTAGAGTGGGGCTAGCCTGAATTCTACCATAGAGTTATATAGTCCCAGTCCAATCTCACTACTTTTGTTGGTAAGTGGTGTTTCTTAGGTAGGCTTTTTCTTTTTTGCAGTATTGGGGATTGAACCCAGGAGTGCTCATACAAATGAGCACCAACCCCTTTTATCTATTTATTTATTTTGAGAATAGGCTATCACTAAATTGCTGAGCCTGGCCTTGAGTTTTCAATCCTGCATCTGCTTCCTGAGTAGCTAGGATTACAGGTGTGTGCAACTGCACCCAGCAGTTTCTTTGATTTTAATCAGAATAATCTAGATCCTCATATTTGCATTCGGAGCCAAATCTCCATGGATTTTCATGAAGCCAGCCCATAACTAGAAACAATGTTACAAGCCTGTGGTAGATGAGGCATTTTTATATATCATTAAAAACAAGGCAATATAATCTTGCAAATGTGGCAAATAAGTAATTGCAATCCCAAACTACTATTCGTAGTTGAAGTTACTTAAAAAACAAAAACCCAATATACCAGGAGGTGAAACAATTTTATTTCACAGTTGTATTTAAAACCCCAAAGACACTATTTTCTTTATATAAAAACACTGGTATACCTATACTTTCTAGAAAATGATTATATAGACCCTCTCAAAGAAAAATGTACCCCATTATATGGTTCGGGGAAGTTATTTGGAAAAAACACATTTGGACTGATTCCTAAAATCAGTATTTGGACTTATACCATTTCACCATTGCGTCTTTTGGTTCAAAGTATAGATTACTGTCATCAGTATGTGTTTCTGCATTCTCAAATATTCAATAATACACATATAGTGAAGTTTATCACTTAATGTTCCATTGGTTCATCAGCCTTTTCTGCAGGTTCATCAGCAGGTTGTGCAGGCTTAATAGGGAAGAAAGAGAAGATGAAAAATGAACATTTGATCAATATGTACTCCTAATTACAAATGTTACATTATAAAAACTTAATGAAAAAAGGGTTAAGGGATATTTTGAATACTAAATTTCTAAGAGCTTTTAAAGAATATATTAGATTTCAGTTCTGAATGCCTAAAAATCATTGAACAATTCCACTATTTTATCATACTGTCTTGCTCATGAGTTAAAAGCCTTTCATATATTATTACTATTAAGCTTAAGATACAATCAGCCCTTTTTTGAGATCCTTTTCCCCTAAACTAACAAAACAAAAATTAAAACCAACCAGCTGCATGGCACTCCACTACATTCTTCTTAATTTATGGCAACTTACATAATGCAATTCTTGCTCCCCCAAATTTCCCAACAGTTCTTTTCAAGTTTGAAGAAATTTATGTACCAGACACTACATCTTCAGGTACACAGTTATTAAATAAGCATCTATTAATGCAAATGTGTATTCTAAACATCCAGCAACAAGATTCATATTAAAGTTTTTTCCCCCTACAAACACTTCTTGATGTGTTTGT